CAACACTAAAAGGAACAGACTTCATTCAATCGGGAAAACTGGACATAGAAAAAAGAAAGAGACACACGCAGACAGCCGAAGAGAGCAGAGCCCCCCCGTTCATTCAGTGTGCCTGGCCTGAAGAAGCCCTTTCCAGGGCGAAACGTTGCCCCGGCACACTATCAAAATTGGCTTTGCACTTTAAAAATTTCTAATTAACTCATTTTTTTTCTAAAAAACAATTTCTTGTAAATTAGTTCATTGTTCGAAAAATTTTTAAAAAAGACCAAAAACATAAAGAAATTAAAAAATTAAAAAAAATTTAAAAAAAACCCAAAGACCAAAAACAATTTTTTTTCCGTTTCCGTATTGTTTCTACTTTTTGAAACCCTCCTTTAGTTGTTTGTTTTTTTTTCTTTTTTTCTTTTTTTCTAAAAAATAAATAATTAAAAAAGCATAATAAGGTGATGGCTGAGGGATGGACGGAGGTCCGTTACGGACGCCGTCGCCTCCGCCAAGCCCCAAGGGACCGTCCGCCAAGGGGGCAGGCCTGGATGGCCCGTGCACGCTCCCCCGCCTACAGGCGGAGGCCTCCCTCACGATACCCTAACCCTAACCCTAACCCCTAACCCTAACCTACCCTAACCCTAACCTACCCTAACCCTAACCCCTAACCCTAACCCTAACAACCAAAGAAAACATCAAGGCCATCAATAGAGCCATAAAAGGCACCCAGAAAGACATACCCCCCCCCTACCTACCTCCAGGTTTAAAACCTCAGGGGACGAGATTCACTGGACCAACACAACAGGTAAAATGATGTGGAACCACTGGAAATCGTTTTTATGATAGATCACTCCAATAAAGGACGGAACACGAGTGACAAATCAATTGTAAATCTGTCCTCACATCTTCAACTCACCAGGGAACATACCAACTTACTAAAGAAAGGTTTGACCTTCATTCCTACATCTACAATTTTCCCCAACCATAGACAACTCACTGAATCTTCTATTCAGGGCTATAATCGGCGTCTAAAAATAGCGGCTTATTTCGGTGAAACGCCAAAAGGACCAGTCCCAAAATTCCAAGACCCATCCTTATGGGAACCAAGGGAACAATATGTCCCCAAAGAAATTTTTAATTTAATCCAGAAAGATAAAATGGACATTTCAAAATTAAAACTTAAAAAAGAAAAAACCTAACTTGACTAAAGAGGGAACTCGGGCCTTATTACAACTAAGACAAATGAACAACATTATAATCAAACCAGCCGACAAAGGAACAGCTGTGGTTATTATGGATAAACAGGACTACATACAAGAAGCAATGAGACAATTAAGCAACCCGATGTATTATATGGAATTAGACGCACCTCTCTTTCCACACACAGCAAAAATAATACATAAAATTCTGGATACAATGCTTCTTAACAAAATCATCAACCACAATTAAATAACATATTTGAAAGGACAAACTCCCCCACGATCAAGGTATTTCGAAATCCACAAAGACCCGACCTCGTGGCCTGTGCCACACAGTACACCACCGGGCCGCCCCATTGTCTCCGACTGCAACAGTGAATCTTACAGAACTGCAGCATGGGTGGACCAATTTTTTAACCCTCTATCCACTTTACATCCTAGCTATGTAAAAGATACTGGTGACTTCATTCATAAAATTAGATCACTCAGTTTGCCGTCTAACTGTTTCTTATTTACAATGGATGTGGAAAACCTTTACACTAACATAGATACAGAAACAGGTTTGCTGGCAGTTAAAAAGACACTTCAACAAAATCCAGACAACAAAAGACCAGATAAATTCTTAATGAAACTATTAAGAGTTAATCTAAACTGCAATGATTTTCAGTTTAATAATAAATATTTTCTCAAAATCAAAGGAACAGCCATGGGCAAAAAATGTTCACCCGCTTATGCCAACATATACATGGCTAACTGGGAACGCACAGCTCTTCTAAAATGTCCATTGAAAACCTAAAATCTTCCAAAGATACATTGATGACATCTGGGGTGTGTGGACATACACCAAGGATGATTTTGAGGACTTTTTAAAGATCCTCAACTCCCACCATGAATCCATCAAACTTCAAGCCACTTTTCATCACACTGAAGTGAACTTCATGGACACCACCACCTTTAAGGGATCCAACTTCAACACAACAGGCATACTCGACACTCGAGTATATTTCAAACCCACTGACACACATTTATTGCTTCATAAGGACAGTTTCCATCCCACCCATACTTTCAAGGGCCTGGTCCACTCTCAGCTTCTAAGATTCCGTAGAAACTGTTCCATACAGAAAGACGGGAGGAACGCAACTAACACACTCTTTCAGGCCCTAAAAAGTAGGGGTTACTCCCGTTCATTTCTGAAGAAATGCAAACACCTGAATGAACGACGCACACAACCGCAATCAACTATCAATACAAAAATAATCCCCATCATCTCCATATACTCCACATTCAGCACAACCATCCACAAACAATTAAAAAAGAACTTTCAACAAATTTTACCAAACAGTCTGCTGAAAGACTCTCATCGACTGCTATCTGCATTCAAGAAAAATCCAAATCAGAGAGACCTGCCTACAAAAGCCTAACTTCAACCGTCGCGGCCTTCAAGACTGAAAACAAAAGAATACAAACTTTCACACATCAGGAGTTTTTCAAAAAGGACCAGGATGTGGACCCAACCACGATTAAATCTGAACAATTACAGTTGCGTTTATGCCATCACATGCAAAAAATGTCAATGACAATACGTGGGTGAAACAAAAAACACAGTTCGTTCCAGATTGTACAAACATCGTTATAACATCATCAATGGACATAAGACTAACACTAAGGTGGTCCAACATTTCCAGCAACATGGGGTTCAGAATATTCACATCCAACCTCTGGAAAACAAAGCTGCTTGGACCACTAAGAAAAGACAAGCAGCTGAAAGAAGATGGATTAATCTTCTCAACACCAGAACACCACAAGGACTTAAACCCCACCGAGAATGATCACCTCGGTAGACACTATGACAGAGGAGGAAGACTTTATGATGGCCAATGCACCAGAAGGACCGGAAGCCTCCCTCTCGCACCCTAACCCTAACCCCTAACCCTCAGTCCCTTATCCCTACCCGGCCTGCGCCTCCGCAGTAACCCCCCCCCGGCGTACGGGCCCACAGCCACGCACCTACGCTATGGCAGCCAGCCTTGGATTCCCCCCACCTGCTTGGAGAGGGCCTCCCCTTAGGGAAAGGGAGCCCTACCAGTCTACTGACCCTGCATTTGGACGGATGGTGCGGAAAATTTACGCATCCATAAAAACGGGGGCCTCAGTCCCTTATCCTAACCCTAAACCTGACCCTGAGCCTAACCCTTCACCCTAACCCTAATTTTGAGTCTCTTTTTCTCTTTTTCATGCGCAGTCTTGCGGTTCAGGATCTAGATCCAGGTAAGTGTGGATCAGGTAAGTGTGGGCTGGGGTGGGTTTTTCAAATTGTGTATGCATATTTGAGCTTGTGTTAATAAATTGTGTTTATAATTATTTTGTGTTAAGTTTTTTATGTCTATGAATGTGTAGGAGTGGCATGCTGCCAAGTTGATTTTGAGTCGGCTTTTTTTTTTTGTGTCTTTTTTGTTTTTCATAAATTTCGCCTCTTTAGGGCAAAAATGATAAACAATGAAAATATGAAATGACAATTAATAAAATAATCCCCCAAAATAAGAAGCTAAAATAAAAAAGGTAAAATTCGTGCCATGGCGTAACGTTTCGGCCAGTTTGAGCCTTCCTCAGAAGCTCTCTGCACGAGTGCAAACCAACAGAATGGCTCCCTGGTGTGCGCTCCTCCTTTTATTCAGGAGCCGGACTGCCTCCCGGCTGGCTCCTCCCCCTGGTGCCTGTGGGTTTTCCCTCCCTTTTGGTCTCTATCTCTCCTTTATGAAAAATTTGAGTGTAATAACGGAACTTTTTGTTTTTTAGTATTTCCCTCTAATTTAGTTTAATTTGCAGATTCCACTTAATTCTATAACCCCTCCCTATATTTCCCTTCTATTTTCAAACCTTTAAATATTATTAATTGTTAATTTTTTCTCAAATTTTCCCTTCTTCACTCTTTCCCATAACCTTCCATTTCTGAACTTTGACCTTTCCTTCTATCCCCTTCCTTTTCCTTTTTGATGAGTAGGTGGTAATTAAGGGGATTATATTTTTGCTTGGGCTTTTTGATTTTGACAAGGTGGTAGATTTGTAGGCAATTTCTAAGGAAGGGTCTTGTGTAGCCTCGTTTTCAAAGGGCTCGAAATAATGTGCCTACTGCCTATGAAAAAAATTCGGGGTTGGTGCAAATGCGTCTGAATCTTAACAATTGG